TTGGTGGTACTGGGGATTGAACTCATGACCTTGAGCTTGCTAGGCAAGCACTTATTCTACTGAGCTATCTCCCCAGCCCTATTCCTAACCTTTCTTCAACTGCACTTGTTAACATCTTTTCTGTCTGTGCTTAGCTTTATTTGAATTAACTTTAAAAAAAACATATATTTGGTTGTTACAGGGTCTCACCCTGCAGCTTAGAATCATAGTGATCCTCCTGTTTTCAGCCTCCCCAGCGCTGGGATTACAGGCATGTGCCACTATTCCTGGACTCCGTGGCCAGCTCAACCTGCCCTGTGGGCATGGCTGGTGTGACATGTAGTGCCAGGGACTGAACCATGGTCCCTGTGCTTGCCTAAACTTGACCTAAGTTGGCACTTAGCTATCTCACTGGCCCTGTTCAGACTGATTTGAACTCATTATTTAGCCCAGGCTGGTTTCAAACTCACAGCAATCCTTCTGCCTCAGCCTCCTGAGGGGATCACACCTCTCCCCTTCACTCCTCTCGCCCGCTTTCCTCCTTGTTCCTTTGCCAGTGTTGAGGCTCAGACTCAGGGATCCCCCCATGTTGAGAGGAGCTCTAACAATGAGCTACAATTCCCAGTCCCCCCCTTTTCTGAGGCAGGATCTCACTAAATTGCTGAGGCTGGGCTTGAATTTATGATCTTCCTGCCTCAGATGATGGGCACGCACCACCATGCCCATCTTGACTTTTTATTATGGCCATCAAAGTTCATCCTTCTAAGGGGCCGGAGAGATGGCTCAGGGGTATAAACCAGACAAGGTCATCAGACCCTGTACCAAATAAATAGATTAATAAATAAAGTTACTTTGCCCCCACCCTGCTCCTCTCAGCTCTGCCCAGGGTCATGAGTTGAAACTCTCCTCTCAATTTACAGATAGGTGCACTGAGGTAAGAGGTCCCCCCATCTCCCTTATGGACACCAGGGCTGTGGAGGGTGGCAGCAAGTTCATTCACTCACTCAACAAAGCCCAAGTTTCAGAACCTGTGGCCTCGGCCCCATGCACAAGCTCACAGCTGGATGGTTGTGCGCTCCGCACCTCCGGGCAACGCCGCGTGCCAGTCAGGATCACCCGGCCCGCAAGCAACCTCCGCGGGGACCGTGATCCCCCATGGAGAAGGCGTGGAGACTGCTGGGAAGCTGCCTATCAAAGACAGAAGGGGGAAATTAAGTCACGCAGGCCCGCTTAGCCAGGAGCATTCATGACTTGGGAATCTGGTCGGTTCCTGGGCCCGAGTGGGGACTGGGCTTCTCCCGGCCCCGGTGGGCGCCCGCCGCTGGCCTTCCTGGGGCGCGCAGAAGGCGTCTCTCGGTGGGCACCGCTCCACACCCGCCTCAGGGGAGACTTGAACGTCTCATCTCCGCTGCACTATCTTCTCCTTTATTTACCTTTTTGGAGTTGGAACTTAATCTCGGGACCCTCGCACTGATGGCACTCTCAGCCCCTCTTAAAAAAAAAAAAAAAAAAATACTAATTAGGCGGGAAACAGGGTCTCTAAACTGACCGGAAAGGGCTAAAACTTGCGATCCTCCGGCTTCAGGCTCCCAGGGCGCGGCTGAAGACAGGAGAGCACCATCGGGCCCTGCTTTCGAGCCTCTGACCTCGGTGCTCTGGACAATTCCGCAAGGAGAACATGGTCCAACCTGCTCTCGCACCCACAACAATCTGAGCACCCGTTAGGCGCGCACGCTGCACACACTCGTTGCGTTTCACGCCCGCCCGCTCTCTTACGCGCGGCGCCG